AGCAGATAAAAAATGATAGAGGAAAGATGAGAAGAAAATAAACTATAGCATGTAAAAGCAAGTAAGCGCACATTTATTTCCAGACTTAGCACATATGAATGAAAAAGCAAAGCTAAAGGATCACTTAAAACTCATAGCACTACTGAAACCACAAAAGCGTGTAGCGCAGTTGTCGATGGCGCCCTACAGTAAACATGGGATCAAATCCAGCGTGCCAGGCTCACTAAACCCTCCATCTGTCCGGCTTCGGCAAATTGGTGCCACACCTACTAGGAAGGGTAGCGGCACTGGTTCGATACATCGGTAGGCCCCCGCGAGCCATTGTGAAGGTCAGTGCATTCAATCACCTCCGACAATGCTTAGTGAAGCCGAATGCATGGCACATCCCTCATGAATAGATCAACTCCGAGAGCTTTGTCCTTTTTATTCTTTATTAAAACCATAATGAAATCTTTCGTAATCGCTTAGAAAATGAAGCATTACTGTGGAGAAAAAGGCGCGGTCAACTGACACAAAAACATTTCTGGATACGAAACAGTAAAAGTGACATACAATACCTTAAAAGCTGTTTAAACTGAGCTCACCTTTTTTCCGAGCTTGACAAAGAACTCATACAAGATTTGTTGACAAGACCGGTCCTCTGCTTCGCAAACCTTAACAATAACTTATGTCAGCACCAGGAGCCTTATGAGAAACGGAGCGAAATTTCTCTGCTTTGATCAAGTGTGATGGTCGCACAAATGATATCCATTGTTATGTTATGTTACCTCAATGATCGAAGTGAACATTCGTAGTTCGTATCTTCTAAGGTATTTGACGGTAAATCGTAAACTTTCCTTGGTTTCAGAGCCGATGGTTCCTCACTGACGCGATGAAGAACCCTAGAGAAGCATAACCTACCTCAGTGTTTCCATATATTGAGTTAAAAGAAAACATAAAACGGAAAACCGTAGTGATAATCTCATCTAGAGTGACTGTAGTTCAAATCAATATTTACCGACCACTCAAATATACGCTTTATAAAGAACATTCTAGAATACCTTTTAAGTAGAATCCTAGAAAACGTCGTAAGCCTAACAGCGACACGTTGAGTCTAGAACTATCTACCACAAATTTTTCTGCTAATCAGTAATCTACCTAGGTAATTTATTCTTTCCGTCTAGATTTTAAATTCTGTTAAGTAAACAAGTAATGGAATATGACCACGATGCCAAAAAATAAGACCTCTTTTACCATTGTGAAGTTAGTCGGATTAATCCGATTCAATTTGGTTGTAACGACGTCTTTAGATATCACTAAGGTCATCTGTCAGACTTACAAGCTCCGTTTATAAATTGAAAGTGTCCAAAGATCCTTACAAACCCTATATGAACCCACTTGCAGTTAGACTCCATACCACTAGGCTGAAAGTCGGTCTGCAGCTGATCTTCCCCAACAACTTTTGGATAGTTCGACGTTCTTCTTCCCGACCGCGTTTGGACCATCACATAAACTCCTAAATTGTAGCCGTTCGTTGTTCACCAACACATTTGTGAAAAAATGAAGATAATTTCACACGATAATAGATGAAGAAGTTACCTTTAGTGTGATGAGAGACGAGAAAACAAACGAGTGCGAAAAAGTACTGCTAGGTCTTGTGGTGATTAAATGTTCTGCTATCTATCAGCTATGATTATAGTACTACCAACACATTCCACCGCAAATACCGGAAGACTTCCAGTGTTTTCCTGTACATAGCCTCTGTCTCGAACTCTAGAAACCTTGCTGTGCAAACTGCCGAAATTCCTCCCTCTCAAGTGCTGGTTGGGATAGAAAGATTGATGAAAGGTAAAATTCCATGAAAAGTTAATACGACAGACGAATTCCTTCTAGTGCGAAACAACAAAATACATGTGCCTTTCGCAATCTATACGATATCTTACCTTCAAAAGGAGAAATTCCTGTTCAGTGGAGGAAATTGCGCATAGGCGTCCTCTACAAGAAGTGTGCCCGTATGTTCATACTTATAAGCTTTTCAGGATTACCCTACTGAGGATATCCAGGAGCTTAGGCGAGTTTGAATAAGCAGGATTTCGAAAGGGATTCTCCTGCATGGACCACATCCAAACCGTATTCCGGGTCATAAAAATATCTCAGGTATTCAGCCTCCCTTTTGCCTTAGATTTCTCGACAACGAAAAACCACTCGACACGGTCGAAACGAATGAAATCCTGTCAGTGTTTATTGATCATGAAGTGGACCCGTCCAACAACAGAACTCTAGCTGAATACTAATCATAATTGCACTTTGAAAATACGGCTTTTCCATAGCCTATTACCATTACTATAGAGAACGGATTCCTACAAGGTGACACTATCTCACCAAAGCTGTTTATACCCATAATGCAGTAGATTTCGCTGGATTGAAGCGATAACTGGACAGGTATTGATAGAAGATTCCTGCTAAATATTTGTTCTGCTGACAATATTGTTATAATCAAAACGATGCTGAGATATTTGTAAAACTCTAGGAGCAGGTATCTGCGCTGGGGACTAAACACGCTATTACCTTTTCCTGGGTTTGACGCATTCACCACCACACTATGCGGATCCTTCGTCTCGCCTTTCTCTCGCCCGTGTTTTATCGGTGTTATCAGCAAGCCTACCAACGGTACTGATCTAGAGAGCACTAAATAAATATAAAGTGATTATATTACCACTGTCACATTTTAGAGAAATGCCAGCGAAGCAAAGACGATGCTTAAAAAACGCACGGATGTGAGGGAAAGGTTCCAATAAGCATAAATAGGAAGGAAAGCCAATTCATGAAGGATCCTTGGTCCGCAGGTGAGTAAATCGAACTGGATCGTATTCTGCTTACGAACACCACCTCGTACGTTCAATGACCATAAGAATAATGTGAGGGAGGAATTAAACGGAAGAATTTCAGCAGCACAGGGCGCATTTAAATCTCAAATATGCCAGTGATCAGCTGACGGACACGAAACACCCTGATCGGCTCTCTGATTTTACGATTCTCGCAAGGCTCTGTTATGGAACAGAGATAAGAGTTAATATTCCAACTACATGGAAAACTGAACACTCACCTAAAGTGCACTTGAACGATGAAAGCAGACCAACCGCACACACGTCTGACCGGAATGGGCAGATTCTATGATGAAAACCTACTTCATTTTTAAAACCAAATAGAGTGTACACGGATTACAAAAAGAAAAACAACATGAGATAGTGATATGTTAAGACCGAACGACGTAAGACGGTAAATAAGAAGTAACGGATATAATAATAGTAAGAACGAAAGACAGATGGGCGAAAAGAACTGTAGAGTGGACTCCATGAAGATGTAAACCTGATCCCAGACAACCACCCCCTTCGGACGACGGGTGGACGTGTTTATAATTAAAAAGAAATCTAAATAGAAATCTGAACTAAAAGAGTTAATCGTCACTTTTTACTAACTGCTGCTTTTTAATGGCAGGGTATTATGTGAAATATAACCATAACGACGCTGAGGTATTCGCAAAAACCTGGACCACGGGTGTCTGCGCCTGGGACCGAACAAGCTATTACCCTTTCCGGGGGCTAACGCGTTGACTACCACAACATGCGAGTCCTTCGTTTCGCCTCTCTCTTAGCGGTGTTATTGACCTACAAGTGCTATCCTTATGGTTGTACTTCACAATCAATTCTATTCACACTCAGTAATCTTTTGGAGATCACGACATGACACTTGTACAACTCAAAAAACTCGAAACAAACTTCCAGCGTGAACGACGATGAAGGTTGCGGAATACAATCTCATATGGTCTAATCTTTAACTAACCTCACACCGACCCAGAAATTATGTCTCCTAAAATATCCTGTCAAGTGGTAGGTAACAGACCCAACAAAGTAAAAGTTACAGATCCTAATGGAGAGAATTACCGATAAATCATGCAATAGATTCACTTCGAATAAACTGCTACCAGAAACGGAAGGAGAAGAAAGCATTAAAACAACGACACCCTATAGTAAGGTTAAAAGGAGCTTAACTCTTTTGTTTACTGCCTTTTTCTTCTTAATGGCAGGGTATGTTACGAAATATAACTCGTATGAAATGCTGAGATATTTGCAAAACTCCGGACCACAAGTGTGTGCAGTGGGGAACGAACACGTGCTGTTGTCCTCACCGGGTCCCGGCTGGTGTAGTGGTGAAGTGCGCTGCTCCCCGGTAAGGACAACAGCACGTGTTCGTTCCCCACTGCATACACCTGTGGTCCGGAGTTTTGCAAATATCTCAGCATTTCATACGAGTTAAAAGGAGCTTCAGAAATCCATAGATTACGAATGATTGTGATTTAAACGAGATAAACAAGTGACCCGGGACATCCACACCAGAGGCTAAAATGGGAACACTGAGGAATTTGAATCGCACGGTTTCGCGGGCATTGCTACACACGATACGTGATATGCAGAAAGTATTTTCGTTATTGGAGCAGCTTAATATTACTAGAGCAGCTTATAATCGCAACTAGTTGGAACGAGTACTGTTAAGGTCTTGCTCGATGTCTTTGCTTCTGTGTAGTTAATAAAGAATCCTACTCTAAAGTTGTTGTGGAATACTTATTAAACGGTCTAATACGAAGGCGGCATGCCTTTTCTGTGCCAACAGAATTGATTGACGTGGTTCGAACAAACGCCTGCCCCAAATTTTGTCCTTTGCTTAAAGGTTTTGCTAGGAGTAGCCCGTAATGTCTTAAACGTTTTGGGCCTGAGTTTATTGTGGACTCTGAAATGTTGTTAGTGTTATTGTTCGCATTGACCGCCCTCCTTTCATGCCTAAATATGAGGATCCTTGTTTTCCTTTATTTTTCAAGGAAAGCACGCTTTCTTTTTGTTAGTTTCTATGTTGAATAGTTCTATTCTAGCTTGTGACGTCATCACATGTATTAATAATAGTCCATGTTTCATGTTAAGGCTAAGACAAGAAGAAGGTAAAAGAGGGTAAGAGAAAGCTGAAAGATGGAGGAATATACTCGCGAGCCTTGGTGAGTGCTTGTACACCAACGTTTTCAGACATTTTCGTAATCCTTTTCGAGCTATATTTTTCCCAAGCGCTTTGGAACTTGTTGTATTTAGTCCGTATCGAATTGGAGATGACGTGGGCTCAGCGTTTGCCATGGGTCTTGTTGGTGGTTCAATCTTTCAAGCATTTTCTGGATACAAGCATGCTGCGAAGGGTCATAAATTGGTAAGTGTCTTGTCCTATGAACGATTTCTGGTACTTTTCACTTCCGCTATTCTGTTTTTCGTGGTGTTTTCTTCAGTACTTTTCTGCAGTACATTTTTACAGTTAGGAATGATGCGCGAGGTAAGGATGCGAAGCTCTGTAACTGGTGTACAGTTTGCTGCATGGGGTGGAATGTTCAGTACTATTGACTGCTGCTTAGTAGCCATTCGAAAGAAGGTAGAAATCAGTCATATCTTTCTTCCCAATATGTTGTTTAATCTCTTCCTATTTTCTCGACATTTTTTTGGCATAGGAGGATCCCTTCAACTCAATTGCTTCTGGAGGTCTGACAGGAGCATTGCTAGCAATTCGAAGTGGACCCAAGGTAATGGCAGGATCTGCTATACTAGGGTCGGTAATTTTGGCTATGATCGAAGGAGTTGGTTTGATAACAACTCGGTGGATGGGTTCAATGGTAGATCCAACGGCACCACCTGTAAGTTTTATCGTAATACCTTTTTTATGCTTTCCTAGACGTATACAAAACTCTAATTGATGGTTTTCTCTTACAAACGTATGCCTCATCTTGTCTTGGGTTAGGATGGTGTGTGAGCGAATCTATCGAGATTTGAAATGGTGATATGTCTTAGACTTTTTTTCCAATAGTTACGTTATCTAGAAAACTAGTTGAGAGAAAGGCGAAACGAGGGACCCTCACGGTGTGGTGGTGAACGAGTTAACCCCTGATAAGGGGAATAGCGCGTTCGTTCCCTGCGGTCTGGAGCTTTGCAAAATATCTCGACATCGTTGCGGTTGTGTCACACATAATACCCTGCTGTGAAAAATTGCAATAAGCAGTAAATAAAAAAGTTCCCATTGTGATTTCGACTACAACAGCTTGACTGGGTTCATTAGCTCCGATGCCCAGAAGGAGTAACCACCGCAGACACCTGCGGTTCTCAGTTTTGTAAATATCTCATATCAAGAAGCTTCATTGTAGTTAAAATCACGTTAGTTAAGTAGTTGTTCGAGTTTGCTTTCTTGCATAGCAAAGAAATCAGTTGCTTTATTTCTATCAAACTATTTAATCTGTAAACATTTAGCAAATAGTTTTTTAATCCACATGTTTTAGCCGGAGGCGCTAGAAGACCCTAGAAGTTTGCCATCTCCGAAGAGTCAAGCTGAGCCGGGTCTTAACGATGGTCACACCAAAATGCCTTTCGGTTTGCCGTCGGCTTTGCCGAATATTTCGTAATCTCCAATTTCCTCTTTGTTTATTAGGTGATAGAAAAGCGTTTGCTTTTCTTCATTATATAGTTGGAAAGTTTTTCCGTCAGTAAGGTTAAGGCTTAGCAAAGAAGTTGATTTTTGTTTTTCTGATAGTTTTTGCCTCAGGGTTTTAATTAGTTGTGTAAGCGAGTAGCAGTCGATTTATCGATTACCATGTTCTTGAGCCGCGAAAAGCGCTGCGACACAGTTTCGGTTGCAATAGTTATAACTGTCAAAGGAAAACAAAGGTTACTTCTGTCACCTGGTTGATCCACTCTTGCTCCTGTGGTAACGGGAAGTGTTCTTTACTGATTTTTTATTGACTCATGGTATTCCCGCTTATTGAGTTGGATGATTCCAAGCCTTTCTCCTTCCTAATCATCTTCCCACTCGTTCCCGGTTCTCGGTGTGACCAATAATGTCAGTGTAATTTTGCTTATCACCACTGCTGAGTCGTTCTGATCTAATTTTCGGTTTTTTTGTGTGGTTTATCTCTCATGCCAGATGATTTTCATTCTGGAGTTGTACCACTTGTCCGATTTTCTGTCCTTTCTAGTAGATGCGAAAATTGGCTTCTTACAGGTTGATGACAGAAATAAAAGTTACTAGATATCTTTAAGAGCATTGTTTCTATGGTTAAATTCCTGCTTTACGAAAAAAAAAATGATGTGCGATTAACCCTATCTTCCAGCTTTTTGGCTAACGTATAATTTTCAGTGATGTATTGATGAATATCGGTCTAAGATTACGCGGTATAATAGTTCGTAGAAACCAGTAAGTTTTGTTGAGCATAAGTACTTTCGCTTAGGCCTTTTGAATGGACAACCAAATTTTTCTAGTTTTTTTTTAAAGGTTAAGATGCGAATATCCTTTTTAGCAATATGGGTGCGACCTGGAGGTAGAGATGGTCTTAGTGGTTTTTCCGCACTTTTTCTTTATGACTGTCTAGAAATCTACTTTTCGAGCTCCACGTGATTAGTTGATAAGGTGTTTTCTTTGGTTCGATGAAACTATGCTCATTAATGAACAACATCTCTAAGTGGGAGTGTCCATTGTCCATTCTATGGACCTCTAAATAAATTTTTCGCCCATCCAAATATTTTGGTATGAAGGATACCAGTGGCACTTAGGTATGATTTTCTTTCTTCTTTAAGATCTTTTTCATGTCTAGAAGTAGTTGCTGATTTGCTTGCCAAGCTTACACGAGGTTACTGATTTGTGTCTGATTTCAGAGTTCATTCCGTTTTCACATCGTTTTCATTGAGTAACGGAAAAAACAACTTCAAGGTTGATAAGGATTTTATCGCAGACATTGAGAAGAAGATTCAAAGAAACAAGAAAATCTTGAAAAGGCTCTCGCTGTCACATTTCAAGTTAGTTTAATGTTTTTGATCAGCTGGTTAAGGGACGTTTAGCGCAGTGATCGGAGCCACCCTACAATACACATTGGATCCATCCCCGTGCTCTAGGCTCACCAAGCATTCCATCCCTCCGGGGTGGGTAAATTGGTACCAGACTTGTTTGGGAGGATTAGAGCATTGGCTCGATACATCGGCAGGCCACCGCGAGTCGTCAGGGCCAGATATGCATTCAATTACCTCCAACGATGAATGATTAATGAAGTCGAAGGCGTGGACCATCTCTGACTGATCAGGGACTGATCGACGCCTGAAGCGTTATCCCTTATCCTTTTACCAGTAGGTTTTCATTTTCGCGCTTATTTGGTGTTTTATCTTGTGCAGATATTGGTTTCAGGGCACGGGAAATAAGCTCGTCTATTGCAAATCTTCGCATTTCAATGAACAGTGCACAGCAAAAACAGAAAGAGGCGTTGGAGCCTCCAGTTAATGCGGTGACAAACATACCCGCGCATGTATCCATTGAAGTATGTCCATTTTCGCCTCAGTATTTCCATTATTTCAGTGGAAATGTGCAGTTTAATACCATAGCTTCCTTTGTATGGTCTCCTAAGGGGCGCATGTAGCGCAGTGGTCGGAGACGCTCTGCAATACGCATGGGCTCGATCCCCACGCTCTAAGCCCATCAGGCCTTCCTTTTCCCGGGTTCGGCAAATTGGTACCAGACTTGTTTGGGAGGATAGCAGCATTGGTTCGATACATTGATAGGCTATCGCGAGTCATTGTGAAGGCCAGATATACATTCAATCACCTCCAACGATGCTTGAGCAAGTCGGATGCATCGCGCATCCCACAGCGATTGATTAACGCTGAGAACTTTATCCTTTTTATGGTCTCCTTACGAATTCCTATCCTACATTTTTGTTTGGTAATCGATGAATCACGCCGGTTTTAAATGAAGGATATTATGGCGCCATAAATTTTAGTGTTAATGAAATGTGGACGTGTATTTACAAACTCTTGCAGATCCAGTAATTTTCACTTTTTCACATTTTGCGCTTTCTCATGTTCTAATCGATCATTCTTGGTTCCAAGTGGAAACAGTATCATTAAGACAGAGTTCCAGTGTTTCACACCAGGGTCTGATTCCTCATCAGTTTCCTTCAAGAATTGTGGTTAAACTGATCAGTTTAATTTGTTAATTGATTAATTTAAATTAATTTGATTTACAATGTTTAACGTTTTGTTTTCTGCCTTCTATAATTTTCATGGCAGGTTACTAAGCGAAATACAACCACAACGTTGCTGAGATATTTACAAAACTCTGGACCACAGGTGTCTATGGTGGGGAACGAACGCGCTATTATCCTTTCCCCACCATAGACACCTGCGGTCCAGAGTTTTGCAAATATCTCAGCAACGTTGTGGTTGTATTTTGCTTAATTTGGTTTAATTGAAAGTCGATTTATTTGATATAATTCGAAAAAAATCAAAGTTGAGTGTTATGTCTGTTAGAATTGTAGGTCCTTGGGAACGGTACATGCCATCTACGTGCTTGTGTGGCGCTACGCACTCCACTGAAAACGTACCTATTCAACTGTCCGGAAGGCACGTCTCGTTTTTTACCGCAACTTCGAATGAAGTCGCTTAATGTCAACGACATTTTCATAACACGAGGTGAATGCTTCTGTCTATTCTGAAGTGTTTCTTTAAATATATGTTTTTCCTTATGGCACTAACTTATGATTTTATATAAGCTTCACCCCCGTAGCATTTTTAACCGAGGCAATTCGACACGAGTTTTCCTATCCCATTATCTCACTTCTTGTTTATGTGTACGTCTAATGATAAGGACATTGGAAGACCTTCTCTTCCCATTCCATATCATTCTATCAGGGGCGCGCGTGGCGTAGTGGTCGAAGGCGCCCTCTAATACACGTGGGACCGATCTCCTTCCCCAGACTCACCAAGCCCTTCATCCCTTGGAGGTCAGTTAGTTGATATCAGACTTTTCTGGAGGATAGCGCCACTGTCTCGATACATCGGTAGACCACCGTATGTTATTGTAAAGGCTAGATATGCATTCAGTCAGCTTCAACGATGCTTAGTGAAATCGAATACGTGGTGCATTCCTCAGCGATTGATCAACGCTGAGAGCTTTATCTCTTAGTTATTATTTATCATCATTCTGTCGGAATTCTTGTTAGTGGAAATGGTCTTTCGTTATATTGTACGGCGTTGAAGAAATTGGTAACATAACAATCTTCTGAAATGTCATTGAAAGGAACAAAACTCTTTCGTGTTTTCCCGGTATGGAGTCGACAGTCCAAAAAAGAGCACCTATGTTTGCGTAGAGTGAACACACTAGTACCAATTTTCTCTTCCTTTCATGGAAGTGCGGTATCAAATTCAACCAAATTTTTCAGTACCAAGTGTACATGGATGACAAATCATTGTTGGGTGGCTACAACTTAAAACTGTTGCAAAATATCTCTTCGAATTGTTCACCTTACATGGTGTTATTATACAAGTTTTATTCGATCAACGTTTCGTGGTCTTTGTCTTCCTCAGAGCCGATGTTCCGCATCGATAAACCTCAGTCATTCGCCTTCTTGACGTGGCGTCTTCGTCGTTATATCGAATCGGATCTTCTACAGTGGAGCATAGGCTCTGAAGAAGACGAAGGGGTCGAAATCTTAGCCGAATGAAACTTATATAACGTCGTGTAAGCTGAACGATTCAAAGAAATATATTAAATTTCGTTGGTCGGGATTCCATTAAAGAAGTAGGAATTAGGTGTTGGAGAATTTTTTAATCGGCTTAATGATAGATGTCATTTAGTGTTTATTGTTTGTAAATATATTACTGCTTACCGAATAGTCTCGCTAGTGGATCATATCCAACATGAACACTCCTCTATTGTGATAAATTCGCATACTAAGAGCTCAAAAAGATTGTTTCCATCCTTGGTTGAATCTCCCACTCCAGTTTTCCAGTCATGTATTGTGCTTTGGTGGTTTTTCCAACTCTATGACCTGCAACAACAGACGACCGTCTTACCTTCAACAGGAATGCCACATCGAGTTTGATACAGAGTCATTAAGGGTTTAGGGTGGCTCATTTTACCTTTTTCATGGTAGGTATGGAGCGAGCAGTCGCAATGATTTGCTGTTGACCTTTTGTCAAGGTTTTAATTCGATAATGTTTGACGTAACTCAGGGTTTGGGTGCTCATATTAGTTGCCGTAGTATCAGATTTTTTAAGCTCTGCTTGGATTGTGGCCATAATCGCTAATCCCGTTTTACACTCAAAAACGACAGGTTCCCATATTGGCTAAAAAAAAGCACTGTTTGCTTCAGTATATGTTACTAAGATATTAGGTCAGGTTGACTAAAAACTGCTTATATATTATGTTCGTCTTTCATGTCATTTCACTATATCTGTTTTTGCTCTGATTTCCTCTAGTATACCAGCTGTCCTTGTCTTCTTATCCGCCACGTGTTTGTTTCAGCTACGTGGGATAATATTGCTGGAATATCGTCTATCATGTTATCAAAAGAATCTAATTGTTTACCAACGCGGATACATGGTGCGATGAATATAAAGCATTTCCTAGAGTGCATTCGACCATTTCAGGATACGGATTATGGATCGGCAAAATATCCTTCACAAGTTGGTATAAGTAAAGTTTTTTACTTACTATGTGAAGTTTAGATTTTTATATAAAAGAAGACGATTTCATTTTTTTAGGTTGAGGAAAGGCCGTATACTTTGGAAAGTTATGAGGATGCTGCTTTAAATATCACGTACCTACCTCTTAGTGCACCTCTGCGAAATGTTGGTTCTTTTTGGTTTCCACCTTGTCGACTATGTGTGTGTTTTCTTTTTTCACTTTTAGGGAGCTGTGTCTGCACAGATCACGACAGATTCTTTGAACGTGGCTTATCTGATCGAACTGAAACCTCCTCCGAGACGAATTGATCCTCTAAAATTGATAGCGCACAAAGTGAGTTTCAAAGTGATTTCAAGTTTCAATGATTTCAAAAGTAATTTTCAAAAGATGTTTGCTTCTTATGTAACGCTTGATTTAGAGAGACTCATCACCTAATCCGTTTCTAGGTTCCAAAAGGCCCGCTTATAGGAAAACTGAAGAGTGGTAACACTATTATACTACCAGATGGTCGAACCATTCAACCTGACGATGTGTTCTCTACCGATACACCAACGGTTCACTATTCAGTGACATATATTACGCTTTCATGGATTCTAATAGTGGGAAATACACACGTTATGACTTCGTTTTTGTTTTAGGAAGAAAAATCGCGTGCTCTGGTGTTTGAGTGTTCTGGAGAAGCACATATAAAAGCGATTATTGAAAATTCGGTAATGCAGGTGAGCATTATCTACAATGCCTAATCTTCCCGTAACATTCATAATTATTCAGGATTTCCTGAACGGTACAAAGAAACTCGACTATATCGTTCATTTGAGTGAGGAAAGTGTTATTCACATGCCTCTCTACCGGAATTTTGTAGATTCGTTAGCGAAATCATGTTGTCACATTGTCGTCAATTCGTCTTGCCCAATAGTACCTGGGATTGAAAGTATTTTTAGGTAAATGTTTGATTTTCTGCCATGCTTATAGGATTTTTGGTAAAGGAGGTGATTTCTACATGTAACACGGCTTCAGTGTTTAGAAATCATCGTATCCTCAACGAAATTTGCCCAGATTTGTTCCCACGCTTATATCCACAGGGTTGGACTGGATTGGTGTCTCAAGGAAGTGAACTTGCGGTGCGAGACGGATTATATCTTAAAGCAGCGCCTTTGCAACGATTTTGGATGAGAGTGGGTGGTGTGTTTGTTCTATATGTATATCGTGCAATTATAGTTAGGAAAACACCACATAGTTCACGGACTCTGCATCTCCATCTCCATCTCGATTTAGAACTTCAAAGTTCCAGGGAACGGAGACGACCCGATAATTGTTGACTTGCGTGATATCGATATTATGTTCACTGACAAAGCACGGAACTTAGTCCTGAATCTCGAAGAAGGTCTTAGTTTTTTTTTCGTCTATTAACATTTCTCTAAGGAAAATTATAGTTCCATCAAATATTGTTAAGTTGCTTTTTCTATATTTTGGAATTAATTTATATTTCATACGAGGTTTTGAACTATATAAAAGTACACTTAGCAATATGTTTTACTTATTGAAGTTGGTCGGACTAGCCACTGAAGTGCAATAACTTCAGAAGCGAAGCGACTTCGCGAAAGGTTATCAGATCAGTGTGAGTATCCACGAGTGTCATTTCTGGGAACGTCATCGGCTGTGCCATCGAAATATAGAAATGTCAGCGGATATCTTCTAGAAGCAAGTTCTAATTGTGCTATGCTTGTCGACGTTGGAGAAGGAACCTATGGACAAATGCGTGTATTGCTTGGGGAAGAGAAGTGTCGTGAGGTTTGGTTTCATTACTGGATTTTGTCGTCTTTAAGAGGCTGAATTGGCGTGGCTCTGTTCGATTATTTAAGTCTTAAAAACCTTCCAGTAGTCATCACTGGTTACAATAATTTTATTTTAATTAGTATTCGTTTACCTCCCAACGGTTTACCACCTCATCGTGGCTAGGAGGTGTTCCTGGGTGTCGGGCTGCGTTGTACAGAGGGAGGATTCGTCCTCTCGGCAGGACCTTCCAAGCCGAGAATGACTCCGGCATTTCAATCAAGAAGCCCAGCTGAGCGTATACCAATAACAGGGTACACCACCATCCTGGTATCAAACTAGTCGTATAGTAGCAAATGACCCTCTGGTCCACAAGGGCGGTGAATGCATGTCGTGGTGGCCGACACGTTCTGGGGCAGACTTTGGTCGGGATGTTGTCGGGACTCCATGGAACCACAATGGATAAACCAGAATAAGTAGTGCAGAAAATGTTATGTTCAGATGCTCTGTAATTTACATGCTGTTTTTGTCACACACGCCCATCAGGACCACATGAATGGGCTTTATACCATTATCGAGCGGCGAAAGACTGCTATAGATTCTTCTGGTTGGTCTCTGTTTTTGAATCTATGAGTTAAACGTCGTCGAAAAGATTTGGATTAAGTTTCTTTTTCTAACTTTTTTCCAGGAAGAGATTATACACCGTTAGTTCTCGTCTGCAATAGGAACGTGCTAAAGCCATTGAAAACGTACTCAATGTGTTTTTCCGATCTCGAGTCGTTGGTTGCGGTTGTGGATATTTCAAGGCATCCAGTCACGCCTCCGGCCAGGTAATTTTACCGACATTGAGAACTACTGCGATCACGTGGGATAACTAGTTGGATTAGTGGATTTCATCACTTGATACCACAGTTAGATATATGCAGTATGATGTAGTCAACATGTTGCATGAGTCCTATGTACTGCTTTATCTTATACCCCACACCATGCATTGGTTTCGATACATTATGGTGGGAATAGTTGTCCCTTTGAACTTTACTCCCCAAATATTCTTGTTTATGTCGAGCTTTATCCCAGTTACGACAAAGGACACAATGGTACACATATCTTTGCTTAGGTAATGCAAGGTTCTGTGTTTATCAAGATGAAATTCTGATTTCCTGTAGCTTAAGAAAGGAATACCTTTTTTATCGGGAGTCGTATTTTGAGTACCGAAGCCAAGTAAGCGACATTTTGTCAAGCAGCACATTGTAGTGCTTCTCAGTGTATGGGCGGTACTTTTTAAATTCTTTTTCGGCTTCCATCAAATGGAGGGGAGTTTTGGTTTAACAATACCTGGTGGGAGCGTGCGCTGGGGCATGTTTCGAAGAACACCGAACTTCGAACTGACAGCTGAAAATCGAAGCGGAATTACTTTATCAACTACTAAAGGTTCTGTGGGAAGTAGAAAACATTCGAATCGTATATATGGGTAATTCTGTAAATGCTGTAACCTCGGGCTTGCTGCGTTTAATTTTCACTTTTTCTATTCCGAAGAGTTACTCTTGGAATAACATTCAGTAATGACGATTGCAGGACTAATTGATAGTTGATTTGTTTCGAATACTCTTAGGAGGTTAGGTAAGCTTTATACCACAGTGAAATAATATAGAGTGGTGACCAAAATATTAAAGATATGTTTATGTTTTTTTTATGTTTTTAGGAGGATTACATAGTTTAAAATTCGTAACATTATCCATCAAACCAATATTATGACAATAAGATATCGTCCTTAATCATACCTGTTGGTATTAACCTACAACCTGAAAATTCTATAAATTATGCAAGTTCTGGTACGCGTGTGGCGCAGTGATCGGAAGCGCCCTGCTATACACATAGGTTCTATTCCCGCGCCTTAGGCTCACCAAGCCTTCCATCCATCCGGAGTCGACAGATTGGTACCAGACTTGTTCGGGAGGGTAGCAGCACTGGCTAGATACATCGTTAGGCCACCGCAAGTCATCGCAAAGGCCAAACATCCATCCACGCACCTCCAATGAGGCTTAAGGAAGTTGAATGCATGGTCGCATCCCTCAGGGATTGATGAACGCCGAGAGCATTATTCTTTCTTTATAGAAGTTCTAATCTTATAACAAATGAAAAGACGTTACATATGAAGATGATTCCATCATCTAAGAGATTTCGTTGTATATTTAGTGAGGAAATCGTGCAAAAACTACATCATGCAGCATTTCAGAACGTGTGAAAATACTGGGAAAAGTACCAGTGAAGTTTGTCCTTATAACTAATTTATGAGTGAAACTAGCCTAGAAGGTGTCTGGAGAAGTGTTCTCTAGAAGATAAGGGACAGGGCGTCGATTAATCCCTTAGAGAAGCGTCCCTACTCCGACTCCAATAAGAATTATAAATGTGATAAAATGCATATTTGGCGTTCGTGCATTTAACGTATTCATTGACTTTCGTGTGTTTACCGATATACCAAATCACATTTGGTGTTTTTTTTATTGAGGAGGCGCGAGAAGGTTTATTTCAAGATTTATTCAATACTGGTTGAGGGTATTGCATTCCTCAGAAACTGGAAGGGTCAAATTGACACGTAATTTACTCAGTCAAACACTTTCATAACCTGTACGGAAAAAACTCAATATCTAAGTTTCATTCCATTTTTTTTCAGTTTCATTAAGTTTCCAATTATGATAAGCAGAGTCTTCTAAACACACACCGTTTTGTTCTTTTGGAGTTATTCAGTTGTTTGATGGAGGCCAGCTGCGCAGTCTTACATAGGTGAGGAACATATTTGGCTCAGGTCAGAAAATCAGCCCGAGATATGGTGCGTGGTTATACGTGATCGCAAATCCTTCGGGTCATTTTGGGATTTTTGATTTTATCCGAAACATTCAAAAGTTTTATGCGCCAAAGTTTCCTACTTCTTTGCGAGCATAGTCACTTTGATTTCAAAATCTTCTTTGTTATTCCTTTGTGCCCTATGCGTGCCTAGTAGGGTGTTTCGTTTAAGTTTATCAACTAAGTGCTCTTTTATACGAAGTCAGAGTGGTCAACCCGTTTTACCAACGTATCCTTCTCTACACATTTTACAAGAAATCAAGTACATCGTACCCGAAGTTATGGAATAGCTATCTTTACCCTTAAGGCAATTTATGCAATTTTATGTTACTCAGAAACGGTTATATAAGCCGTTACGAATTAGCTGAAATATTAGAGTATTCAGTGGTATTCTAATCAAATCACAAGCTTCAACTTCAATAAAGCAGAGAAGCGCCGTTTTGGAAAGTCCCATGAGTAGAACTAATTCGATGACGTGCCACAAATGTTAAGGGTCATTAGGTTAAGAGGCGTGACATCCCTGACTGCATGCTTTCACTTTTAGAATTGGATTCAAATCTCTCTCCAGGGTTTTCCATTTCTAAAGAAACCTTGTGTGAGATTGCATGCGGTTAGCACGAGCTTGAAGATCGAGTTTGTCACAAAACTATGCTGGAGACGTTATGTAAGAATAATGAGCAAAAATTAGGAGAATTAGCACCATCTCCTTTTCCTTCTGCGCTCTTTGGACAGCAAAACCCCAGCAGCGGCGTAGACATCACGTTTCGCATATTTTCGCACGAAACTCCCAAATTCCTTAACAACTTTTGCGAGAAAAAGTTGAATAAAACCTCATAGCTTCCCAAAAATGGTTTGCGATAGACTCAAGAACCAATGTGTGCACAGGAAGAGAGCAGAAGAAACATTAGGTAAAACGGTTAGACCACTCTGCATCCATGTAAAAGAACACCTAGCTGCCAAGGTTAAGGTTAAGCAAAGCACTTCACTAGGCACGCGTAGAGCATAATGACATGTCGGAGAAGGTTTTGAAATCAAAGTCACTGTCTTCGCACAGGAATCGAAGGCTTCAGCTCGCAAAACACTTGAGGTGTTTTGGATAAATTCTCCAAATCCCGCAATAACCCGAAGACTGTGATCACACATGGCCTCGCCCCCTACCTCATCCTGTTTTGGGCGTGAGACATGTCTTACTCACCCATATGAAGACTCTTTGTGACTGGTCTGTATATAGTCACTGGAGTACTTACAAGGAAGAAGACGGTGAGTGGGGTTTTTGCCTGGGTAATGAAAGTGTTTGAATGAGTAGATTTCGTGCGAGGTTTGAAGAAGGCAGAGCTAGCCAAACATCGGCCAATAGTGAATAAATCTTGTTATTAACGACCCCATAGCTGCTGAAGAATTTAGCATTACTTTATTTCACAATTCCAACGTTAACTGAAAGTGACTCCTGTGAAGTGCTCCAGCGTTTATTTTCCTCCCAGGGAAATCTGTCATTAACTTGCAGATCCTTAGGGAAGACAGTTAGCTTACCGTACGGAGTCGAACTAAGTACCATGTTTTTAATACAAGTTACCTCTAACCACTGCGCCATAAGCCGCCATTTTGAAAGGTATAAGTGGAATATGTGAAAAATTTGAAAAAAATTGAAACCGAAAATGGTCGCCATACTTGGACCCAATTCACTAGTTCAATGTGAGAGATGCTTTCAGTCCTGGACCGCCGACAAAAAGGCGGCGGTTGCCATCACCGGTATTGTCCGCTTGTCGTAATGTGATTGAACTTATGCCCAAGGAACTGTTTAATGAAGATTCATGGAACATCCAAGAGATAAAGGCTGTACAGGTTTGTCTGCTTTTTATGTCATCATTTTAAAGAGTATTATCTTCTTATCAGTATAGAACGCCACCTTGATAATGTAATTGTTCTATTTAGGTTCATCATACGAGGATGGCTAATGGTTTTATTTTTGGTATTGGTGGGAAACGAATAGTATTTTCTGGCGATACAAAGCCATGTGATCTGTTGGTAGAAGAAGGACAGAATGCAGATTTGCTGATCCATGAGGCAACATTTGAAGACGGTCATGAGGTTCCATCTTAATACTATTCCTAATTATATAGCATGCCCTTTTACTGAGTGTTTCTATCGAAAGCTGAAATTGTATTAGTTTGCTCATGGAACGAATTGTATCTCGTTTTCGTAACAGGCGGATGCATTGAGGAAAAAACATTCTACAATGGGTCAAGCAGTTGAAATCGGTCGGAAGATGAAAGCGCGTAATGTGATTCTGACCCATTTCAGTGCTAGATATCCAAAGGTGAGAGTTTCGTTTCTGTAAGCGTTAATTGTACAAGGTTTTGATGACCTTACCATTTAAGAAGTTCTGCTGATGTTAAGTTAAGCTTGTGTAGTTTTAATGGAACTGTTTTATAAGGTTCCTGAGTTACCGACATATCTTGAAAAGTGTGGAAATGTTGGAGTAGCCATGGACAATCTTAGAGTCCGGTTCGATCAGCTTGAATTGGTTCCAAAACTGTTGCCCATTTTCAGGTGCGCTTTTTTAAAATTCATCTGAGGCCATTTGGCGTCGGCAAGAGGAGCAAGTATCTTCATGGTTTTTGGACTTGCTTTCTCATAGTGACGTTATTGGTTGTAAATGTTGACAGATGGAATCTCTCCGAAAATCCCGTTTCATCCTGATTTTTTCTTGATTTCAAATAAGAACTACTGCTTCATTTTGGAAATCTGGCATGATCTGGCCAATGTTTTGTGGTTTCCGAATGTTTACCACTAGATTTTTGCCTAAGTAATCTCTTGTTTTTAACTCATACATAGAATGAATAACTGCTGTTTAGATAATTTTTCTTTCTTCTGTGCGCTATTGATATTCTCATTTCTGCTGTTCGTTATATATGAGGCGGGTGGCATAGTGGTAATGATGTCGGTCATCACGAGCATGATGCTAGTTCGATTCTACTCCGGGCCAACCAAGCCTTTCATCTCTCTGGGGTCGGGAAATTGATATCGGACTTATCCGGGAACAAATCACACTCGGTAATCCAAGTGGAGCACTCCAGCCCGGCGATCTCAGAACTGCAAGGAGAATTGCTCGACCAGCATTTTCCGACATTCAAGACGCAATGAAATTTAAGCAAGCAAGCAAGCATTCACTCAAGCAATAGCCGAACCCACACGTTAATAAGTTGGAAGACCTTCGTGGATGATAGAATCAAGGAAACGAATCGAAACTGAAAAGTGTTGGGATCCACACAGTAGACGTGAAGACAAATTATATAAAAACAAAAATAAACCTTTTTTCATCTTTTATGAAAATAAAAAATGTTTGCTATTTACAGGGAGATCTATCAAGAAGAGTTGTTCGAAATAGAACTTCGGAAAGAGTCGCGAATTTTAAAGCAGAAAGAGGAGCAAAAGAGAATAGAACAGAAAACAGAGTTTGTATTGAAGGGGAACGCTGACTAAGTGTATTTAACTGAGCGCAAACGATTCTAGTGTGTTTTTGTTACCAAACATTTTGTTGCCAATTGCTGTTTGTCAAGTTGTCATAGATATAATGTTATAAATGCTTTATATACGCAAAGATGTCGTTTGGTTGTATTGTGGTAACCTCTTCCTGTTCTTTTATAACGGATTTCTCATTGTTCACTCACATTTTATTACCCTCATTTACTTCATGGTTCGCTTTTCGACGTATTTTATGAAGTTCTTCACTCAAGAACCGTTTCTGGTTGGGTCGGTGAATGGCGGAAGAAGTACAAGCCGATGTAAGGATTTTGCTAGTTGGAGAGCCAGGGGTGGGTAAAACATCCCTGGTGATGAGCTTACTTGAGGACGAATGGGTCGAGCACGTGCCTCCTAAGCTGGACAGGTATCGACTTTTTTTGTCACCCTTATCCTTATTGTAAACGCATTGGTGACGATATCCTGTTTTTCACATAGGTCCGATGGATCTCTTTAGGACATAGGGATCAAGTAGTCTCAGTTAACAGTAATTTGTGTACCATTCCATCAAATGAGTTCGTGCTTCTTTTCTGTAGATTATAATCTTTAGGAAATAGCCTTTATGCCAACGCGTGTTATCAAGTCTGCTTTGGGGAAGCTATGGAAAAACAAAACGTTAAAATGTGAAAAGAACTGTGTAGCAAAGAAAATGGCGGGGGAAAGGGAAGGAATTATGTAGAACTCCTGCACCTGCGACAACAAATAGTTTCCGTGCTGTAGCGTGGTATGGTGCCTAGTTTTTCATCGGTTGTGGACTACATTTAGATCAATGCGTATTGTCTGCTGTGTCCTTCGTTCCTGTGCTCCCTCCTTCACCCAGAAAAATGACACTGAACTTCATCAATAACAACCTCTGTAATGCCTTACGGATTGTCTATGTTTAAGCTAGCGCGAGATTAATGTATCTTCTTTTTCAAGTATCACCCGTTGTCCCGTTATCGTCGAGTGATTCGAGAGGTCGCCAGTAATTCTTCCATTTTTCTCTGTCGCGCGCAAAAGTAGCTCAGTGGGTTCTGCTCGATCTAAAGACGCATCGAGCATCATATCTTTTTCTAGGCGCTTTGTGAAGAACTCTGACCATCGGGTCGGTGGTCTTTCTGTAGTACGTTTGACATCCTGAGGAATCCAGTCACTAACGGCTCTTGTCCATCTGTTATCATTCATACGCATTACGTATCCAGCCCACCTTATCTTCGACTGTTTGGCGTATAGAACGGCATCCTTGATTTTTCGTCGTTGACGCGGATCTGAGCTTCGGATCCCATCTCTTACTTGCGTGGAACGGGATACTGCTAGCATCGCCCTTTCGACTGCGCGTTCGATAACGCTGAGTGGCCTTTCATACTGCTTACGCAGCGGCCAGGTTTCTGACGCATACGTTAGGGCAGGAAGTACCGTCGAGTCGAAAAGGTGGGCACGGATTCGGATGTTCTTTGTCCTCTTCACTAATCCTCGATGCTCTTGAGAGCTCCCCAAGCCGCTCGCTTCCTTCTGCTCAGCTAGGTCGTTCATCATATTGATTTCCTGACCTGGATAGATATAACTGGAGCGTTCGGAGATATTCGTTCTGTTGAGCGTGAATGGGACATGCGAAACCAATCCGTTCTTCATGAACATCGTTTTCGTGAGATTTAGTAGAAGACCAATCTTTCCAGAGGCCGTCAAGCATACGTTCCGCTTGGCTAATATTTAGTGTTATAAGGAACATGTCATCAACAAAGCGAAGATTGTGTAACTGCCGACCATCGATTTTCACTCCCATATTATCCCATTTCAATGCCCGCATGACGTTCTGGAGGGTGGCGGTAAATAATTTCGGTGAGATGGTATCGCCTTGCCTAACTCCTCTTTTGACGTCAATGTTAATATCGTTGCAGAATGGTGATATTTTGGTTGTGAAGTTTTATACAACTCACGAAGAATTTTTACGTACTGGTAGGCACTCTTTAGCTGTCTAGGGCTTCCGTAACTGCTTCTATCTCAACTGAATTAAAGGCCTTCTGTAAATCGATGAAAGCGACGCAGAGCGGTATTTTGTACTCTCGCGAGACTTCAATGAGCCGTGTTACCGTGTGGATGTGGTCCATCGTACTAAAACCTCTTCGAAACCCTGCTTGCTCACATGTCTCTCCTACGTCCAGTGTTCTGTCAATCCTGTTTAGGATGACTCGAGTGGAAAGTTTGCAGACGACAGTAAGTAGATTGGGTCATAGTTGCCGATATCGTGCAGGTGACCCTTCTTGAACAATAACACGTTCTTGCTGGTCTTCCACTGAGTAGGGACCTTGCATTCAGACAGGTGACGTGTAAAGAGCCAAGCCAGTGTGTTTACGAGGACTGGCAGAAGGTTCTTCAGGTGTTCTTGTCTTATCCTGTCCGGACTTGGTGCTGTTCGATTCTTCACCGACGAAATGGCATGTCGGATTTTGGAAACGAAAACCGGTGGTACAACATACCCATCCTCCTTTATTTCATATGACCGAAGGTGGACGTGGCTGGCTATGGAAGAGATTAGAGTAGTATTCGTGAATGATTTTCTCCATTGCCTTTCTAAACGCTGTAACTGTTTCGCCCGGGCGTCGGAGTGCAATCATCTTGGTCTTGTAATTGGCGAAGCTTCATTGGACTTTGTGAATGCTTTTCCCAGCCTCTGCAGCTTCAACCATTGCTGCTGTTCTTCTCTATTTAAGATCTTATTTTATCGCCTGTCTCCATTGTCTTGCAAGTTCGGACGTTAGTTTGCGGTTGCATGCTGCTCGTGCGATTCGACGCTGGCGTATAAGTTCGAGTGTTTCTGAAGACAAACGTCTCTTGGTGACTTTCAAACTCTCAGCTTTCATAGCGTTAACGTGCAGATGTTGAATGAGCCGATCGTATTCTTCGTCGATGTTATCAACAACGGCATCTTCCCAACAGGCAACTAATGAATAAGTCCCAGTTTGCGGTTGGTCTGGGACTTCAGTTTTGGAATTTAGCGGCTCTTTCTCCTTTCCGCGAGAAATAGAATCTCGCACGAAGAAGACGTTGGTCTGATCCTGTGTAGAACTTTGGGACGACAGCGGCATCGGTTAGGCAGAAGCTTCTATTTACTATGATGTATTCTATTTCGTTATGGTACTCTCCATTGGGAGTCTCCCACGTCCAGTGCTGAGCGTGGCGCTTCTGGAATTGCGAGTTACCATGCATTGTCTTCGTCGCTATGATAAGCTCAGAGAGCCTCTCACTCTGTTCGTTCCATTCTAATCCGTGGGTCCTATTGTGACGTTCTTCAAACGTTCTTTTTGGTCCAGTTGTAGCGTTGAAATTTCGAATGATAATCTTGAAGAATGTATGATCTTCTCTGTAGAAGTTCTCCAAGTCCATATAGAACGCTTCGTCTTCCTCTTCGTCATAGTTTGATGTTGGAGCGTAAACGACGAAGATTGTCAAAGCTGGTATTGATCCACACCTTTTATTCATAAACGTCTGGTTTGGGTTGTAAGCTGTTCGAATGCATCGATTTTCATGGACAAACTCGTGTCGACGAGAACGCCGACACTGCCTACTCCTCTACTGCCACATGATCCGGTGAACAGTTCTTCTCCGGTGTCATAGACGGCGTTCAAAGGCTGTCGTCTTCTCGTATTGTCCAGGGTGATGACGTCGTACCTTATCCTTGTTGCTTGCATGAGGAAGTCTTATATCGAGGACTCGGATGCAAGTGTATGTGCATTGTAGTTACGGACCGTCACCATAGTTGTTCGAAATCCAGGCAGCTTCCATAGGCCGTGAGATTTTAGCAGCCTCTCCGTGCTCGTCCTACCCAACGCTGCGAAATTGGGGACTCATTTGTGGTCAGGGAATGAGGCCCGTTTTTTTTTTTTTACTGTGTTTAGCATTTTTGATACCCACGTATAGCTTGCTGGTATTTGAACGTAGTGGCTAGGTATACTCACGGATAGCAGATTCTCCCAGAGTGGATATGGAGCGTACTTTCCAGTCATTTGATTGCAGGCTTTTGGGCGAATTGACTCGTAGAACACAATCCGCGTAGGGAAGAACGCACCCACACACGTATGCATGAATACGCCTAGCAAATACAGAAAGTATGTGCCAAATCAGTGCAGCAGAAACAGGGCGTGTTCATCCCGTGGATCCACCTGCATCTCAGGGAAGCAAAAGTCGCCTTTGGTCCGCGATTAACCCCTTTTCCGCTTCCTTGAGACGCCCCACGCCGCCTCGCGACTAGCCAGCTGTCGAAGTTTGTCCCTGTGTTCCGTAGGTGTGGAAAAACGAGGTAGTTGCGATGAAGTGATATACTTGTAATTCTTCGTATTCTTGTTGAGCAGCAAACGCGTGGTGTTGCTTTTATTCTTTATTGACGAATAAGCTGACGTTTCGGCGGATTTCGCCTTCCTCAGAGCCTGGAAAGGTCAAGTTGACAGCAATCTATTCGGCCAAACACCTCCATAACCAAACAGAGAAAACACCAAATCAAGATTTCAATCACATTTAGCATAGCTCTGCACACTCACCGCTTTCTATGAGGCTTTCACCGAGTATGTCGCGTGAAGACCAACCGCACAGTATTCACATGGAAGCCTAATGTGCTCCTCCCATAAGAATAACAGTCTTATATACTGCCCTATATCACGCGTGATAATGAGGCATTCTTCCCTGCGGTTCATTTCTGGATTTCTGGAATTTATCCGGAACGCCTCGAGAGTTTTGCGCGCTTGTGTTCTCGATTCTTGTGCGAGGATCATGACACGCACTTCAAAGTCCTTCCCGTTATGTCCCTGAGTCCTATGCGTGCTAGTGGGGTATTTCGTTTACGTTTGCCGACTAGGTATTCTTTTATGCGGACACAGAGGAGTTTGCCCATTTAGCCAATGTATTCGTCTCCGCATGCCTTACAGGGATCAGATAAACTATACCCGAGCTCATGCAATAACCATTTTTAACATTGGTGCAAACGCTAGAGTTGTCGTTTGGGAGCCTAGGTTTTCCGCTACACCTATCCCGAGCTACAGTTTCGTATACTGACATACTTGTATTTGTACAGCAGAGAGGTGTAATATCCTCCTTATTGGTGGGTGGCATTCATCTTCAGGGCGGATACCTCTGTGCACTCCTCACCAGCTGCAGTCTGTAGTTGACTAACAAACTCTTTCGAAACAGAGGTGAAGAAGCGATAGAACCAATACAAAGAAGTTTTTCGGCAAAGGAAAGCACCGATAAGAAAACTCACTCACCTTTGGTGTATGTCGTAGCGAAGGTGTTAAATCGCTGTAGGTTTTCTCGTTGTAGGTAATAAAAGACTTTCCTTATCGCCTTACTATCGCTTTGTTGTCTTCTCTATTGTTTTTTTTTGCAGAGTCTTGATTCCTGCGGACGTCACTCCTGAAAATGTCACCACCTCCATAGTTGATTGCTCAGTTAAGAATGAAGGTAAGTTATCTGTGTGTCTCGTTACGATCTAATTGGTTCTCTGTGTATAGGTGAAAGCTACATCAGTACCGAGTTGAAGCAGGCAAATGTCGTGTGCATTGTTTATAGCGTATCCGACGATTCGACAATACAGCAAGTTACTGAAAGGTTATATTGTTTTTATTATGAAATGTAGAGAAATTTAGCGTCCTAAAATATGCAAGTAATCACAATTTTCTATAGATGGCTTCCCTTATTGCGTGAAGTATATGGAACAGATCACGAGATACCGGTAATTCTAGTTGGGAATAAGTCTGACGGGCCAACGAACCATACAGACAAGGTGAATTTTTAGTACCATTTCCACCTCAAAGTTATTGCGATATAGAACCTTCATGTGCGTTCTTGTTGGACAACGAATGAGTATTAACACATCTTAACTACAATTTGGTATGTCTTTTCATGGTCCTGACAGTTCATGTGTTAAGGTGGTGCCGATCATGGAGCGTTGGTTAGAGGTTGAGACTTGTGTAGAGTGTTCGGCGAAAACTATGAAGAACGTTAGTGAGATTTTTTTCTATGCCCAGAAAGCGGTTGTGCATCCGACGAGGCCACTTTATAATGCCGACGAGAAACGACTCACTGATAAAACTCGGAAAGCTCTTATTCGAGTGTTCAAGGTATACTTATCATTTTAATGGTAATGTTTATCTACAATATTTGCTTTGAATACTTTGATTGCCTGTCTTCACTGGTTGTACGGGCTCCAGCATAATCTCCATTCTCCGGGTTTGCTGGTTAGTCATTGTGGTTCTTTGGGATCCCGAGGACATCCTGGTCGAAGTCTGCGCTAGGTCTTCACGACCACAGGCAGTCGCAGCTCTTGTGGATCAGATGGAGATTTGGCACCATTCGACTTTGATACGAGGTGATGGTGGATCCCGGTTCTGGTTTACTCTTAGCTAGGCTTCCTGGTGGAAACACTGGACTCAGCTCAGGAGACCCTGCTGGGATGATGGATGCTCCCGTTGTACATCGTGGCCCGACACCCAGGAACACTTCCCAGCCACGATGAGGCGGTGAACCGTTGGGGGCTTACCTAAACTGCATTATGTGTTTCTCTTTCTCTGTTGAAAGTTATATATATTGTTTGGATATACCGGCAGGTTTATAATTGCTTTTAAGATCTGTGACAGGGACAACGATGGTTATTTGAATGACTCCGAGTTAAATGAGTTTCAAAAACTTTGTTTTGGCATTCCTTTAACATCAGCAGCTATTGAAGATGTGAAAAGAGCTGTTTCTGATGGTTGTACTGATGGTGTAGTCGATGGAGCTCTGTCACTTCCAGGTTTGTTATTCACGTAATAATGGCAGATTATTTGTTATTCATCTTTTGCCACAAAAAGAGCCTTTATTCACTCTACCACTTTTAGTCCGGCACGAGTTGAATGTAACTCACACGTGCCCGAAAATCGTCGCCCGTTTAGATATTTCGTGTAGAACCGCTCTCTTACAGAAGCACTTGTTAGCTTTTGGTAAACGTTTTCGCTTGAAGTAAACGCCATTAGGACTAGAGATTCAGGAATTCAACACGAAACAAGTGTTCATATTCAACAACGATAATGATCGGGATTTTTTAAGCCACGAAACACTTTTCTTTTTCTTGATAGAGACTGATTTTTCAAACGCGAAGCGGTTCTGCGAAACCTAGATTTTTTTTAGCAACATAGATTGATGTCCTCTCAATATATTTTTTCTGTTTAGCGCGCTTTCGTTGAAGGTTACAAAAATTTGGTTATGACGTTAAAGCGCCAAGAACAACATGTCTCACAGGTGTCAAGTTATCAACTCCAGGAATGTTTCCTTCATGCGAAAGCAGCATTCTGCATAATGATAACCTCACGGGTTTATTTTCCATAATTCAGTTTTCCATGTGTTTTGCCGACAATTTTTGTATTTCATGTCGATACTACCTGTGTTTTTCTTATCTTTCCATGCTTTTGGAATATTGCTAACACTTAGGTGTGGTGGAAAACTCGTCCTTCTTTCAACCGCATCGCTGTTGCCTGTCGTCGTTTAGTATACATCAGCGCTTTTATGTTATATTTGTGTGCCTATATTGGAATACAATAGACTTTAGAACGTGTAGTTTTTTTAGAGATATATTATATGAATGAGCGCTTAATCCGTGTGCTTGCATCGGAACATCGGACTACTATACTTTCATGAGTCATCCGGATTCAGAAAGATGTGACGAATCAGACTATGGACTGTGGACCACCAGGCGGTCAATAGGAATTTTTTTTGGTCGAATTTCGACGTTAGGAAGTGCTGCAGAGTTTCACCGGGTTCCAACCGCTGAGCCGATCGTCGTAGTGAATCCACAGCTCATCGCACATCACAATACGGTCGAGAAATGATGGGTCGTCCTTGTTGCGCAGAACGATTGCCGACGGTGTTTCAAAACGACGATCTTTTGATTTCCATCCTGTTTGTCCGGCAGCTATTTTTCGAGTTTCCTCGACTTTCCAGTTTTCTTAAGATAGTCCATGACAGTGGTGATCTGTATACCGAGTTTTTCCACAACGTTTTGAAAAGTTGTGCGTGCGCGTGTGCGTTTATGCATGTGTATATACATGTACCTGCATTTGTGTATGTGTATGTATATGTGTTTCGATCAAGTCCTTCATTTCGTTATTGTCCATAGCAGAACGCCGTTCATCACCTCCTTCATCTTTAATGTCGAGTTCGCAACGATGAAATTTTCCAAGTCAACGCTGAACTATTCATTCGTTAACACTTCCTTAGCCCTGCACTTCACTTGTTTCGAGCTATTTGCACAGCGCTACGTTCAGTTCGAATTCGTAAAAGTAGATCGTTGAAACTGCTGTTCCGATATCTAAGATTTTAACCTTTAAAATCTTTGAAAATAGATTTTGTGTTACAATTCAATTATACGAAGCTGGAGTACATAAAATAAGCTTTGTATTGATATGGAATAGTTAATTCCCGAACCATCTAGCAGATTGTGTTTTCACGACATTTTCAACACAACTGTTCAGGTTTTCTTCATCTCAATGTGCTTTTTATTGAAAGAGGACGGCATGAGACAACATGGTCAGTGCTACGCAAGTTTGGATACGAGTCAAACTTAAAACTTGGCAAGGATTACTTATACCCTAGGATTCAGGTTTTTTTTCCCTTATGTTCTCTTATTCCACTTCTCAACTTTATAATAACTAACAAGTTGCTCTTTTGTTTTATGAATGCGGTAATTCAGCAGTTGTTTTCGTGACTTTAGGTACCAGTCGGTTGTTCTACTGAACTGTCTCCTGAAGGCATACAATTTTTGTCAGCACTGTTTGAAAAATATGACGAGGACAAGGATCAGTGTCTCTCTCCATGTGAACTCGCTAACCTGTTCAGCATCTGCCACACAACGACATTCAATAAAGAGGCGAGTTGTGCTCACCTTAAGGAAATCTGCCAAACCATTATACTTATCTTGTCTTAGTTAAGGGCAACTTTTGTTTTCAGCTCGAAGTAGAGACACATCCTATGAACTCTTAACCTCTTGACTCGACCACTGTTTTGAAATAGGCGTTTGAAATAAAAAAGGTGTTAGCATTTCAGGCGTTTAGGATGTTTATTTAGTTGGAATGCATTTACAGTTCCTTTCTGCTGTCGAGACAAATAATCGAGGATGGATAACCTACACTGGGTATATGGCCTACTGGAAGTAAGGGTCTTCACACACATACTCTTTATAACATTTATAACCTTGGTTTACGTTAATATTATTATTAGTTAAGCATGATTACGCTGATTAATGTGTCTCAGACCATGGAACAGTTGGCTTATTTGGGGTTTGCAGTTGGGCGTAAAACCCAGAGTAAGTTTGATTTTCATACCGTTGCAAAAGTAAACAGTTAAAAATTCCTGTCGTTAGAAAGTAGTAAGTGAGGGAGTATAGCTACCCTTTTCATAAGTATAACCTATCCATTTAAGCACGAATTGGCTCAGTAGCAGACGCGATTAAAATAACACGTGAACGAAAAATCGATCTCACAGAGCGTGGTACAACTCGCCGGGTATTCCATTGTATTGTTGTTGGTGCCAAAGATACGGGAAAGGTGCAGTTTCCTTTGAATATTTATAAATATTTAACTTATTTGGACACTTGGATGGCCCGTTGTCACTTGTTGTGCGGGCGCCAGCTTAATTTCCATGTTCTCGGAGTTCAGCCATTGTGGTTCCCTGGAGTATCGAGGTCAGCCTAGCTAAAGTTTGACCTAAGGTCGTCACCGTCATAGACAGTCGCCACCTTTGTGAACTGGAAGAATCTACCACTGTGCGACTAGTTTGATGCCAGGACGGTGGTGAACTGGTTTACTACTAACTGGGCTTCTTGATGGAAACGCCGGACTCCTTCATAGCTTAGGAGACCCTGCCGATCGGATGGACCTACCCACTGTACATTGCAGCCCCGGCATCCAGGAACACCTAGCCACGATGAGGCTGTAAACCGTTGGGAGGAAATCAGATAAATAAAATTTAAAAAATTTAAGTACTCAACAAGATTGACAAATCGAGCAAAAGCAAAGGAGTGTTATTAGAAAATAAAGTAGAGCAAAACAAGCGAGCATATCTTGGTATTAAGGTGGAAACTTCTTCGATATACACATTTAGCTCACTTTTTATTTTTCTAAGGACTCGTATGTGTTTCAGAGCGTTTTTATGCAATCACTCGTAGGTCGTGGATTACTGGATACTGTGCATACAGGGCGAAGGCATCCATATGTAATCAATCGAGTTAAAGTCAAGGAAGAGACCAAGTATCTGTTGCTGAGAGAGGTTTTTAGTTCAAGTTGTTTCGTTTACTGTTTCCCATGTCTCTTTTAAATACTCTGGTAAGAGCAGGTGGATGTACTTTCACCACAAGATGTTCTGAGCAATGCTGAGACAACGGCAGATGTGGTCGCATTCCTTTATGATATCAGTAATCCTGACTCGTTTGCCTTTTGTGCCACAATTTATCAGAAATATTTTTGTCGGTGGGTGCAGTAGCTGATGATCAACCATTCTGAAGTGAGAAGTTTTTTATCACGTTCTATATCTCGTCGTTTTAGTACAAGAACACCATGCGTGATAATAGCAACAAAAGTTGAGCGCGAGGAAGTTGAACAACGATGGGAGGTTTCACCAGAGGAATTCTGTAGGCAATACGAATTACCGAGGCCAATCAGATTTACTAGTGATCAGGTCTGTATGATTTCAGTTTTTTAGTCGATGCTACGTCGATGGTAAGGATGATGTTTCTGAATAGAATGACACATGCTAAATCTCTTGATAATTTATACGAACATAGGACAGTAAGCAACCCCGTCTTCACATATTCTCCCAACCGTTTATGGCCCCATCGTGGCTGGGAGGTTTTCTTGGGCGTGGGGCTGAGGTATACAGTGGGAGGATTCACCCTCTCAGCATGGTCTCCCAAGGTGAGGTGTCCGGCGTTTCCATGGGGAAGCCCAGCTAGGAGGGAACCAATTCACCACCGTGCTGTTATCAAACTAGTAGTCACACGGTGACAAATCTTTCTCTGATCTACTAGGGCGGCGACTGCGTGTGGTGGTGACGGCTTGGGGCGGACTTTGGTCTGGCTAACCTCAGGACTCCAGGGAACCACTGTTGCTAAACTAGCAAAATTCCGGAAAAAGTGGAAATTATGCTGAGCACTGCACAACTAGCGACTACGGACTATACAGGTATCTTCAAATATCGCTTCCATTCTTTTCATTGTCTTGAAATAGTTTTTGACGAAATGTTTTCCTTCCTATTCCGGTTCGACTTAGGTTGAGGAGATGCAGTTTTCCATACCTGTTCATATAGTGGGTGACAGCATGTCTTCCGTTGCAATCCGGTGATAGTCGTGCGTTCGCAGTCTTTATCATTAGCAGTTGTTGAACTTTGTGGATCGGCGAGAGGTTTGCTGTGTTGCTACTCGGAGTCTGTCAGGAGTACAGGAGAAAAGGACTTCCAGTAACGGTTGAAAGTTCCGTGATTAGTCGACCGATTACTTCGGCATATCCTTCTCGTGATTTTGGCAAATAGTGCAGAGTTTATTCCAAAGAAGGAAAGGAATTTAACATTAGGGTGCTGCACAGAAAATGTCCTTGTGACCATAAATGAAAAAAAGTGTTGGTGCAAAAAAACACGCATTGGAAAAGAGAATATCACAGGTAATATAATCCCAAATAACCAAATAGGAACATCAGCATCTTTTTAGGGTTTGAGGTTGATAGCTTTGACTTGTTTCAGATAGGCTGTCCTGGTGGTCCGATTTTTGAGCAACTTGCAACAATGGCTACATATCCACATCTGCGACGTATCTACTACCTCCACGATTCGAACCTCCTTCAAAGAGTAACCTTCGGCGCGGCCATTGCAGCTTTGGTTGGCTTTCTTATTTTTAAGAATTTGTGAGGAAAAATAATGTTACAAGAAGCAATACTATTGTTACTCTGTTCTAATTTCACCTTTTATTTTTCTCTTTAGCTACTTTATCAGGGTAAATATAGAAGGTCGGATTCTCCGCCGTTGTAAGTCAGTGACCTTTAGAGAATAACCCTACTTAAACTATGTCTGTAGATGATCACCAATGTGCCTGATTTTTTTTAGTGTTTGTTTTTAGTGCATTGATTAGCCATGTACATTCGTCATGATTGGTACTGACTGATTGATAGTGTAGCTTTTGACATTTCCATGTCGTATGATACAATACTTATTAAGAATTGATATCTTTAAACAGTTGTTTAGGAGCACTGATCTTGTTTATTTCTTTTTCGGATATCCCATTATGTGCTAGGGTCTTGTTTTGTTTTCTTTAAATCATTGATGTGTATTTCTTATCGGTGATCCTTGTCGATTATCCTGCATTACATCGAACTTTACGTGTGTGAATTTTTTGAGATAATATTTGGTGTTCATTAGGAACTCTTCTTATTAACGACCTCCTCAAGATAGAAATATGTGAGATACGGGTTTTTTAAAGTTCTTTTTATTATTACTATTATTGGTTTTCAAACTGACTGTAATTTAACCTGGGTAGTAGAATAATCAACATGTGTTAAAATTTTTGACCTTACATGAGGATGCCGAAATTGTTTTATTTGGCTAAGGTTTCGATGTCTTCGTCTTCATCGGTGCCAGTTTATCCTCAGATCATCTCTATCGGCTCTGAAGAAGACGAAGACATCGAAACCTTAGCCGAATAAAACAATTTTGGCATCCAATTTGGTCAACAATTTGAACACATTGCTATTATTAATGCCATTCGTGCAACCTACTGATATGTCAGTAGATCTGTTAGAGATTTCAATACCTTTGCTGAAGGCGAATATTCTTGTAGAAACGTAGTGAATTTTTCATATTCTTCTCTCATATTTGTGGCTGTTATTTTTATTGATGTAATCTGATAAAGTTGAGGATCTTCAAAGCAGTTGATAGTTAAAAGAAGAGTGTCCATCAGTTGTTCTACTTTTTTCTTGCTGAACTCGTTCACACAGGGCTACTGTATGCTGATGTTTTCTAACATGTACATTGGTATCATCCTAAATATTAGATGGTGACAGACGCGGATATTCATCTATGGGGCGTGTAGCACAGTGGTCGGAGGCGCCCTGCATTACACATGGGATCAATCTCCGTGCGCCAGGCCCACCACGCTTTCCATCCTCGCGGTCTTGGCAGATCGGTACCAGGCTTATCTGGCAGTAAAGCAACACTGGCTCGGTATATCGGTAGGCCACCGCGGGTTATTGTAAAGGCCAGATATGCATTCGATCACCTGCAATGATGCTTAATGAATTCGAATGAATGGCTTCCAGGCAGTGATCAGCGCCAAGAGTTTTTTTTTACTACACGGTGAAAACCGTTGACTGTTACAATACGTCTACGGTTATATAGAGTTGCGGTTATTGATTACATTGAATTATAAGAAATGATATATATCAAGCAATAAATAGGAAACGTTTTGGATCAAGGTGGGGGTTAATGTACAGATGAGAAGGCATATTTTAAAGATGTAGCGCTAGCTGATAATTGTGGTTAACAACTTACTTAGCTTCTTATGTGGGGTACAACTAGGAAAATCTCTCGGCGTTGATCAATCCCTGAGGGATGCGCTATGAAGACTTCATTAAGCATTGTTAGAGGTCAATGAGTGCATATATGGTTTTTACAATGACTCGCGGTGGTCTACCGATGTATCGAACTAGTGCTGCTTTCTCCCCAAACAAGTCTGGTACCAATTTGCCGTCCCCCGAAGGATAGAAAGCTTGTGAGTCTAGGGCTCGGGATCGATCATAAGTGTACTGCAAGGTGCATCCGGCCATTATGCCACATGCTCGATGTGGAGTGCAATTGCGCTTTGTTACCAGTGGAATTTTGTTAATAATTAGTAGTCTGAATTGCTACTAGAGAGTTACCTAGACGTTCGCTCTATGTAGTGGCCGTATGTTGATTTTCAAAATAGCACTTTGAGGTCGTCTCGAGTGCTACTTATCAGGGTACTTTAATAGAGTCGATAGAGTATGCCACTAAAGTTTGCATTAGAAAGAGTTCGTCTCTTTATCGGATTTTCTTGAGAGCGAAGTACATGAGCTGGAACACAAGTGGTTCATTGGTATATTTCGTACTGATGTAAAAAGATTTTCCTCAAGCGTAATCTACTTGCTTGACGCATCATATGTTTGAGATTTAACCTTTTAAAACCCATACGCATTGATTTCAATATGTGCGGTGGTCTACGTTTCAGACCGTACATATTGACTTCAATGCGCATTCCGGTTGCGTTCCAGTGACATGTCTGTCTGACGTCTTACGCCTGAGGTCTGATGAGTCCAGCACACGAAAATCGCCGCGATCGTGAAATTCGCGCCTTTCGGCCTGACCATTCATACCTGCGCAGTAAGTGAGATTCGATGGGTTAAAGTTCGTTGCTTTATTCGCCCTGATTTTGCTACGAGTGAGCTATCCATTCTAGAACTTTAGTGGATTGGCTAAGAGTAATTGTTCGGTGGTTACCTGTGAAAGACAATTCAAGCGTGAAACGAGATTCCCTAATATCATGAAAAGGTTTTTCAATGGATCATTTCGTTTCAGTTTGGTTTAATGGCTTCTGAAGGTGAATTTGCCAATGACTGCAGTCAACGTGATGGGAATGTTCAAGAGGGGACTGGTAAACAACTATTTTTTAACTCAAAGATTTGCTGTCAAAGTGGTGTTTCCTATCTTGGAATTATTTTTCCACTCATATAGATAAGTTATTTTTAAGTTGGAGTTTTGCATGACAACTCATGCGAGTGCACGCATACAAATCAGTCGAGCGGAAATGTGCTGTCAAAAAAGGCCTTAAAGAAGTTGAAGTTTCGGGAAAAGTAGGTAATTTTCTTAAGCTGTTTATTCCTTTTCCAAACTCAGCTTCGAGAAAAGTGTTGTGTATTCTCTCTGTATCTTTGTTTTTGTACCTCTGTTGTGATAAAGTAATTTTAAGTATGCTACAGCCTCAGCTTAACTGGGTTCAATACTGATTTGTGCTCACCAGATCAATCCCGTTTACGGGTGATTCCCGATGGCACTGGTAGATAGAAAACTAACTGAGAGGAAGGCGAAACGCAGGACCCGCATGGTGTGGCGGTGAACGCGTTAGTCCCCTCCTCCCTAAAAGGTAATAATGAGGTTCGATCCTCCCCACGAGCACCTACGGTCCGGGGTTTTGTGAGTGTCTCAACGTCATTGTCGTTGTTCTTCACAGAATACTCTGCCGTGAAAAATTACACTAGGCAGCAGATAAAAAGTTAACATTGTAAATTTAAGTATGTTCTGGATTTGGATTATGAGGAATGAATTTGAAGGCAGTGCTGTTATTGTTCAATAAATTTCCTTCGTGTAGTAGAGACGATTTAAAAGTGTGGACAAAAAGCTGCTATGTTCCTGCCTTGAGATGCTGGTTCTGAAGGGATGGGCTCTCCATCTTGGCGCCTTGAATGTACCTACCAATTATATGTACATCTAAGCATATCCATGTACATGAATATGCATATACTTGCATAGATGCGCGTGTATTTACGATTGAGAACCTATCGATTCTTTCAAAAGCTTGAAATTAAAGGATGGTAAATTACGTTTAAACTGGATGCTGTCAAAGGTCGCCGCCATCAAGTCAGCCCACTCGATGGTTAGTTCTTGAGCAGCTGAACAGTCTGTCCATAGGTGCTTAGTTGCCAGAGAGAATACAGATAGAGGTGTTATTCAGATAGTATAATGCTGTTTATGTCAGCTGTTTTTTTGTTTTTCCTGTTGTGCTCTACCACAAATTTAATGCGAATTATCCATGGAATTACACCATTCTTCTTGAAGATGAGCCATCCAAATAGTCAAGTAAGTACCCGAGTATGTCTCTCGAGTGAAAGCAAGCTACTGAACAATTATGACATGCCTAAGGGGCATGTGGAGGTTTGCTCTCTGCTCTTGCAGCTCAACCTTATCTCTTCCTGTAAGCATCTTTTCGAAAGCAATTGAACTTCTGTTATGGTTGTTTAAATGGTTTAGATCATATCCGTGCTATTTTCCTTCATTTAATCAGATGGCTGGAGCATCGAAAATTGAAACGCGTAGAGGAAAAGCGACGAAAAAAGGAGAAACGGGCAGCATTGAAGAGAGCTGGTCTCGGTCAGTCTCTTCGTCGATTTCACGGAAAATCTATGGAGCAGTCCTCGTGCAAGGTTCTTTTGCTTTAAACGCTGTTTTAATCATAGTTCTTAAACTCATTTCAATTTTTCATATATTTCTATATGGATCCACATTGTTACTCAGATTCGTGTAGCGATCGATATGTCGTTTGACAAGTTCATGCAAGAAAAGGATTGTCGACGAACAGTTCAACAACTCAACTGGAGTTACTCAGTGAATAGACGTCTCGCAGAACCATTTCAGCTCTATGTAACGTCTTTTGAGGGCTCCTGTAGGAAGGTCGGAGTCTGTTTTCTTTTTATGGAAAGGTGAAACAATTCAGCTAGAGACTGAATTGTTAACGTCATTTTGACTGCAGTCATGAAGTCCTTAAAAACCACTCTGCATTTGCAGAATTCTCACTTTTGCCAACTTGGGGCTAAAAGGTTTAAAAGATATTTGTAGCATAAAGGTGTCTATTTATAGAAAATTCTCTTATGCTTATCAGTTCATATTATGCTCGGTTGAAGGCGTCCAAATCTTTGCTTTCCTTCTTGAATGTTTCTTTAACCTCATTTCGAGAATTATAGTTGTAAATTGGCATTGTTTAGATTTATGACAGCATTGAATCCTACCAGAATCAGGACATTTTTCTGAAATCGGAGCCTCTGGATGATCTGTTCAAGACTTGTGAAATTGTCTATCTAACAGCAGATTCGGAGAATGTGAGCGTTAAGTTAAACTCCCAAGTCCAACTTTCTATTAATCTCGGCATTGATTGAATAATTCTTTCTACTTCTGTTCAGCAAACACGAGGTGTTATTTTATTTCTTTATTTTCGTACAAGCTGATGCTTCGGCTGATTTCGCCTTCCTTAGAGCCTGGAAAGGTCAAGTTGACTACAATCTGGACGGCCAAACACCTCCATAACCAAACAGAACCTCCATAACCGCTACTTGATAGGCTTATTTGAACGTTTATTAACGAAAACCAGTTTTCCTTCGGCTTCTTCTGGGTGGACTCCTGTTTGGTTATGGAGGTGTTTGGCCGTATAGATTGTAGTCAACTTGACCTTTCCAGGCTCTGAGGAAGGCGAAATCCGCCGAAACGTCAGCTTGTACGTAAATAAAGAAATAAAATAGCACCTCGTGTTTGCTAAACAGAAGTAGAAAGAGTTAAGTTAAACGTCCGATTCATAATCGGTATAGCATGTCTTTGGAAAAGTTCAACTCATAGGTATTAACGGGTTTGGAGGATTCAAAAGTCTATGTGATTGGTGGCCTCGTTGATCACAACAGTGAGAAAGGACTTTGTTACAACTTGGCAATTCGTAAAGGATATGCTCATGCCCGACTACCAATCGATGAGTTTGTGGAAATGAAAACACGCAAGGTATTTTTAGCACGTTATAAGTCTTATTGAATTTTAGATCTGAATGAATATTGGCTAGTGGTAGAAAACATTCGTCTCTCTGATTTGTCGTCATTTTAGGAAAAGGGTGGAAGTAATGATTACTTGATACTTGAAGCTTGAACGGCCCGTCCTCACTAGTTGTGCGGGCTCCAGCCGGTATGTTGTCCACTTTTAAGAGTTTTGTTGGCCTAGCTACGGTCTCTCCCTGGAGTTCCGAGGCCAGCCTGTCCAAAGTCTGCTCCAGGTCGCCACCACCGCAGGCAGTCGCCGTCCTTGTAGATTAGAGGGAGATTTGCCACCATGTGTCTGGTTTGATACCAAGATAGTGGTGGGTCCTGGTGTTGGTATACTCTCAGCTCGCTTCCTGGTGGAAACGCCGGACTCCCTATCAGACCTGCCGGGGGAAGAATCCTCCGCTGTATACCGTAGCCCGACGCCCAGTAATACCTCCTATCCACGGTGAGGCGGTAAACCATTGCGAGTAATGATTAAAGCATGAAAAGAGATTTTTAAAATGCTCTTCAAGTTTTTGACTGTTTTGGAAAATTTTCCCCATCAACGCGATTGATCTGGGGAACCCACGTCGGTATTGAACTCAGTTAAGCTTAAGCTATAATATGAATCACAATGCAATCACTTTTTATTTATTGTTTATTCTTTTTTTCATGACAGAATAAGATGTGAGATATAACTACAAGCGTACTTGTATAAATATCAAAGCTTCAGTTTTGTTTGTCATTCAAGTCATAGGTAGGTTGTAAATCGAAAATCCTGTCGGTTTTGTTTTGTTTTTATTTGTTTTCACTGAGTTCCAGGTGCTAACTATCAACCACGTGTTCGAAATCCTGGGTCATTTTTCGGAGCACGGTGACTGGGAAAAAGCATTCTTTGCTGTTATTCCACCTAGGAAAGGAATGTCAAGGAAAGTCGGAATGGAAAGCGGTTCGGATATGGTAGGAAGTGGTTCGGAATGTATTAGCAAGCCGCGAGAAAGATGCTACTCACCGTCGACGACTTGATCTCACGGCAATGGCAATGAGAAGAACGAATACCGTCACTCATTACAGTATCATTATGGCTGATCACGAAGCTTTTATAGGTTTGTATAATCTGCTTCATATGGGTGATTTTGAAGTGGTCCTTTACATCTACAATGCCGAAATCAGTGGGTATGACCACCTATTTTGATCTGTCCATTCATCTACATCTTTTTATTTCATGCTTCCATCAAAGTAATAGTTCCTGATGTTGTTCTTTTTGTTCAGTAGTGTTGTTTTCTGTTGATCATATTGTTAATGTTGCAGCTAACGACTGTGATTTTAGTGAAATCTTTATTGAAAACAATTCATTTATAGAATTATTAAGACGTTATGGTTTCTTCAGCAGAAATGTCTGCATCGAAGTCCTCTTCACTGCTCGTCCAACGATATCGTGTGTATATTCTTGACTGTTCGTCAATAACGTTGTTTTTCTAAGATTAGAAAATTATATGTATGGCAGATTTTATTGAAAATACTTTAACATTTATTTAGCTCGATCTCATCCTGTTTCAAAAACTGAGTTTGTGTTCGATGCCGATATGAGTTTTCATGGCTAAGATCGCGTAAGAGAAGTATTTCTAATAGACTACTTGTGGCGAGATGTTGGCGTAGTCCACAAAGCACTTTTTACAGATTTGAATTGTTCTGTGTAGAGTACTTTACCCTTTCACAACCATCGCGTTATGTTCTCAATACATGCGTTGCTATGTGTTTGGGATCTTCTGATTCCGAAAAAAATCCTATTTTCATCTCTTGCGCTTCGAATGGCAAATCTCCCTTTTTCTAATCTTGGAATTCTGACCTTGTGAAGTACAAATGCAATGACTCTGAGATACTTGCATTGTGGTTTTGACTATTTAGGCATCAGCTTAACTGAGTTCAATGTCGATTTGTGCTCTCAGATGATTCCGTTGACGGATGATTGTTGATAGCACTGTTGGGTTAAAAAATTGCCTGAGAGGTAAAACAAAGGCTTCGGTGGTGCAGTGGGTAAGAAGTGAGCCTCTGGTAAGGGTAATAACAGGTTCCAATCTAGCCTGAGAGTTAAGTTTTGCAAATATCTGAGCGCAATTGTGGTTGTATTTCACATAATACTCTACCATGAAGAAGTAGGAGGCAGTAAACAAAAATTTGTGCAATCCGAGCTCGATTTCAATGCGCATCTTGAGTGCACTCCAACGACACGCGTCGAGGAAGGGTTGGTATTTAGAATGCGATACCCAATTTGGTGAGGTTGTTGCACATAAGCGACGCCTGTTTTCCGTCGCAAGCTTTCTGATTCAGTATCGACTCATATCAACCGATCTAGCATTCTTCAGTCCGTGATACACAAACGTCTTCGGAACCTGCTCAAACGTGTTACACCGTTCCTGTCTTCGTCAGCACCATTCTCCAACGTTTAAAGAACAAGTTCGTCCGAAGAACTGCTTTTTCAATAATACCAACTGCAAAGCAGAGTTTCGGAACCGAATTTCCTTCAACCTCGGTGTGACTAATCAATATGTGTTCTGTATATGGTGTATGGTGTATGGTAAATTCTTATTATTATTCTCGTATATTTAAAACAGTTTTCCTCTTCGACGCCAGTTATCTATTGGGTGAGAGTACGAAGATTACAGTAAGAAACCTTTCCTGTTGCAAAGTAAAAAGCCGAACTGAGAGTTGATACCAGTTCACGCAGGTCGATGTGACCCACCCACCGCCTAGTAGGTGGGAATAAACTCGAGGTTCTCGTGTGGGATCAGTGGAAGAAGTGCTAAAGTTTATACAACTATGTTTTCAGGCTATTTTTTGTTTGAAGTAATGAATGTAGCTTAAAAGAAATACATTTTTACAAACCTCTTTGTACACGTCAAGCTCTTTCAAGTGAACAAGGTGGTCTTCGATTTCCCACGTTTGGATGAATTCACCGTTGTACAATTCCCATTCCACCTGAAACAAGATGTCGAGCAGCTGTGTGGTTGTTGATGCTCTGTGCCTACACTGCACTTAGTAACTCAAATTTTCTACGTGACCCTTCATCACAGCAACCGTTCGGACTCCAGCACTTCTCCCATTTGATTCGTTTTCCTCGCATTCATCGTCCAGAACAGTCTTCGAACATTTCACATGTTGCTTCGGCTCCTGTTTGAGCATTTCGTCTCTTTTATGAATGTTGTAGAACGCTGGTGGAGTCGATTTTCCTAGCAATTTTGGAAACAGTCGGGCTAAGGCGTCACCACATGGATTGGAAGAGAGCGTTGGGGGGAGGTCAAACCAGCTCCTTTGCATCCTGGTCGACTGCCCCGTAGTATCTCTCAGCAAAGATAGGATTAAGATCATCCTAATTAGCAGCTACTATATATCATTAGTGGTAAAACTTCTTTCTAAGTTGCTTTCATAATCTGGAGTACACAAATGATGTTGAACTACTTCAACGTCAGATGATTATTGATGGTGCAGAGCAAGATTGTTTAAAGTTAATGAAATCAGAAAGTATACTTTGTAAACCCATTGATTATGGATGTTTGCCGTTCGATCTTTCTTGTACGGACGAAAAGCGATCTTGTGGCGAAGTTTGAAGGCCTCTTCATAACTGAAACGGATGTGACACGATTACGGTGCAGGTTTACTTAGTAGTTTGAATGATTCTAATACGATCTGAGATCCACCTCTATACTGTGGCCCACGGATTACTCCCTTTGTTGGCCTGTCGTCACTGGCTGTGCTGCCCCGGCTTAATCCTCGTTTTTCCGGAGTATTGCTGGTTTACCCATTGTGGTTCCCTGGGGTCCCAAGATCAGCCTGGCCAAAGTCTGCCCCAGGTCATCACAAACACAGGCAGCCGCAGCCCTTGTGGACAGAGGGAGATTAGCCATCATGCGACTAGTTTGATACCAGGACGGTTGTGGATCCTGGTATTCGTTTACTCTTAGCTGGGCTCCCTGATGGAAACGCCGGACTCCTCAGCTTGGGAGACCTTGCTGGGGTGGTGAATCCCCTCGCTCTACATCGTAGCCGAATATCCAACAACACCCAGCTACGATGAGGCGGTAAACCATTTGGAAACCCATGGAGCAGGGTTCAAAATTTATTCTTAATCGCGTTATCTTTTTTGCAAGCTTAAGAATGGTCATGAAATCACATAAACAAATGAAAGGTTCATATGTTACTTCTCGCTATGACGGTGGGCTATGAATGTGTTAGAGCGGAACTGGTTATGAGTCAGATGTATTTAACTAAGAGGAGGAGTTCTGTAAAGAATATTACTTACGTCATGTGGTTCAGAATCTTCGTGATCCACAGGCGATCTTCGTAACTTTTCGGTAGAGGCATTTCATGAAATTCATACATTACGTTGAAGTGAAATAATCATTAAATGATGTGAACTGCTATAGCTGTTGCGTAGGTGAGGAGACGTGACATGGTGATATCACAAGTTTCAACAAAGCCAAAACAACATCTGACAGGGTTTCACTTAGATCGCAAACATACTCCAAATTGATTTTTTAACGATAAATGTGATACGCCAGTAAAATAAAAGATGAAGCTCTCGGCATTGATCAGTCTCTGAGGGATGTGTTTTGCATTCGACTCCATTCGTAACATCGTTGGAGATGGTTGAATGCATATCTGGCCTATACAATGACTCGCGGTGACCTGTTAATGTATCGAGTCAGTACTCTTATCCTTATAAACAATTCTGGTCCCAGTTTTTCAGCCCTGGGGCACGAGATTGATCCCTCGTGTATTGCAGGACCCGTTTAACCACTCCGTTACACGTGCTCCCTAATACGCCAGTAATTAAGAGAAATGGACAGCCATAAATTGTCACCGCATGGGCATACATGCCATATGGAGAAGTGTTTTTAATTCTCTCCTCCAATACCCCTTTTCCTCTAGTGTTTATCGGGTCACTGTGGCCCAGGATCTGTGCCATAGAGCGACGCGAGGCGAGATGACTCATCCTCGCTCCTCATTCTTCATCCACATCCACATCTCCAGTGACAGGTGCTGGTGAACAGGTGACATCCGTGTACAGGTTTCTCGGTTCGTAAGCGAATGCATTGTATCAAATCTGCCGAATACCACTTAAAGGGGCTCACGCGATCTTTACAGAACAGAGAATCATTAAGAAGTTACGTACTTTCAACTCTATCGTTCAACAGCATGCGTTACTTTCGCTAATACCACGCCTAATAGTATACACCACTATGTTAATTAGAAAAAAAATGTGAAAGCACCATCACCAATACGACTCTTCTGACTGGATGGCTTGAAATTCCGCATTTTGAAGATTCAGAAATTCTTAAATGGTATACCGATTCATAAGACGTTGGTGTGCATCGCAACCTTAGTACACATTTCGAGAAACTATGAATATCTTAGTTTGTTTTCATTTAGTGAGCTTACCATATAGACCTTATTTTCATTATTACCTATTGTTCTGCACCTCCCTTTACCACCTCATCGTGACTGGGAGGTGTACCTGGTCATCGGGCAGCGATGTGCAGCAGAAGTTCACCTCTCCAACAGAGCCTCCCAAGCTGAGAAGGATCCAGTGTTTCCATCCGCAAGCTCAGTAAGAATAAACCAGTATCAAAAATCACCACGGCCATGCTATAAAACTAATCGCATGGTGATAAATCTCTTGCTGATCCACAAGGACAGCGACTGCCTGGGATGGAAGTGACTTGCTGAAGACTTCGGGTAGATTGACCTCGGGTCTCTAGGGAACCGCAATGGTTAGACCAGCAAATGTAAATTATGCTGGGACCCGCACAACCAGTGAAGACAAGCCATTCAGGTAACCAAGTGTCTGTTCTTCCATTCAGCTGACCATCCAGTGTCCCAAGTGGGCACAAATAATGTTTCCAACCGTTCGTTTTCACGTAACGAAGTTTTCCAGTTTGTGGTAGTCGAAAACGAAGAGGGTCACTTTTTTGTTCGTTGTCTTCGCGAACAACTCTCACCGTAGCGTTCATGGTCATGTTGAGATA